CCTTTAAATGGTGGTGTTGGTTACGAATTGTGAACATACAGGGAACTGCCAGAAGAACAGACAAATCTGCCTCGGAAGAAGTGCAACCAGAATTCTCCTGGGATTGAGGATGGTGAGACCGCATCTCACATGCTTTAGGCACATTATTAAAGGGGACAAGGAGAAAAACATCCTGCTTGGAAAAGTAAAGTATTGTGGGCAGGGGGAGGAAGGCCCACAATGAGAAAGATTGGCTTAGTGCCTGCAGCAATGGGTTTAAGCTTCCACTGAGATTGTGGTGATGACACAGACCAGGATCTTTCCTCCTTCTTTTTTCCCCCTATCTACTTCTTTCTGATGTACCTCTGATGGGGCCTCTATGAATTGGAACTGACTTGGCAGCACCTAATAAGAACTGAGGAGCCCAGGTGCTTGCAGTTGTTATTGTGTACTATTGAGCCAGAACCGACCCACAGCTGACCCTCTGGTGAGTCTGCAGAGGCAGTTAATCCCACAGGAGGATATGGTCCTCCTTCCCCAGCGGAGGAGCAGCTGGTGCCTTTGGGATTGCAGCAGAGCTTCTTACCACAAGGCCCCCAGAGCTCCCTGGTGCTTTTGGTAGGGGCCAGTATTAAAGCTGGTGCTTATTTGTTGCCTTCAACTTGGAATGGACTCATGGCTGACTTCCAGTGGGGTTTTCAAGGCTACAAATCACACAGGAGGGTATTGCCCATTTTCCTCCCCAGGAGCCTCTAATGGATTCAAATTGCCAGGGGTGTGTGGCCTCAGGATTAGCTGTGCAATTTCCTACTGGTTATGCGTCCAGAGCTCCCCTGAAGCTAGGCTAGGTGTGTTCATTATATGGTGGCTGTAAGTTTGCTTATTGCTTATGTGCTTTTTGAAATGCAGGATTTTTGCTTAAGGATTGCTCAACTGGTAACCAAAAGGTTAAAATGCATCCAGTGATTCCAAAGGAGAAAAGACTTGGGAATCTGCTTCCATAAACATTGTTGTTACATGCTGTCAAGTTGCCTGCAACTCATCACGACCCTATATGTACAGCAGCTCTGAAGCCTGCCTTGTCCTGAGCCTGTCTCACTGACTCCAACTTCACCTAGTCCCATTGCCCCAGTCACTGCATCAATCCATTTTATCTAGGGTCTCTCTCTCCTGCACTGTCCCTCCACCCTCCCAAACATGATGTCCTTCTCCAGGGACAGGTATCGCCTGGCCACATGCCAGAAGTATGTGAGATGGCGCTTCAAAATCCTAGCCTCCAGGGAGAAACTTAGTTTCACCCTCTCCAAGACAGACCTATTTGTTTTCTTGGTGGTTCATGGTAAGTTCAAGCCTCTTCTCCAGCACCACACCTGGAATCACTGATTTTTCTTCTGTCATCCTTAGTCATTGTCCACAAACATTACAGCCTAGAAAACCCCACAGGGAGGCCCACCCTGTCACATGAGGTAGTAAGTCAGAATCAACGTAGCACCAAACAACAGAATTTTTGTTATTTTCCAATTTTATATGTTGTATTATCTTTGTTTTTAGGCACAAGAGTCTTTTTAAAGTGTGTATCTTAATTGTTAAACAAAATCTTTTTTCTCTTTTATTGATCTAACTCAACTTTGTTATTAAAAAATAAATTCTGTATGATTCCTGACCTTTGAAATTGCCTGCCCTTATTTTATGGACTAGAATGTACACAGTTTTTATAAATTCTGTGTAAATTTGAAAAGAACATATTTTCTGAAACTGTTGGATGCAGTTTATCTATTTATCAGATAACTATCCTGTTTAGTTTTTCAAATTGTGTGATATAATTTTTGGCTATTTGATCTGTCAGTTCCTGAGAGAAGCATGTCAAACGATGTTACTAAGTGAAGGATTCATTGTTTATGTTGTTATGTGCCATGGAGTCACCCGCAACTCATAGTGACCCTATGTATAATAGCCCTAAACCCTGCTCTAGCCCATGCCAATGTCACTGTCTCTAACATTTCTACCCCCATTATCCCAGCACTGAATCAATCCATCTCATCGAGGGTCTTCCTCTCCTGCGCTGTCCCTCCACCCTCCCATGGTATCCCTCTCCAAGGACTGATCCTGCTTTGCAACCTGCCAAAAATACGTCAAAAGCTTCAGTATTTAGTTATGATTTACTTTTTTCTGGCCCAAAGACACTACAGTTGTATTGTCATTGCTCAGATTGTATATCATAAATTTGCCTTAATGATAAGGAATTTTACCAATAATCCAAAGGCACACCATTCAAATCAGCCAGCTGCTCCAAAGGAGAAAGATAGACAATCTCCTCCCATGTGATTTACTGGCTCTGAAAACCCACCACAAGGTCAGCTATGCCTTAGTTCCAACTCAGCTGCACTCAGGAACAACAACATGCCAGTATTAAGGGAGCTCTGGTGGCCTAGTGGTAAGGAATTATTCTGACAACTCAAAGGCATGAAGTTCAAATCCACCAGCTGCTCTATCAGATAAAGATGAGCAATCTCCTTCTGTGTGATTTATAGCCTCTGAAAACCAACTGAAGGATCAACCATGAATCAGTTTTAACTCGACAATACATACTAACAGTAACTGGGGGTCTAGTAGGGCTTTGCGCTGCTAACTGAAAAGCACACAGTTCAAATCCACCAGGTGCTCCACAAGAGGAAAATGGGCAGTCTCTTCCCATGGTGATTTCCACCTCTAAAAACCCACTGGAGGGCCAGCTATGAGTCCGTTTTGTCTTGATGGCAAATAAAACAAAAAGCAAACATTCCAATTTTGCTGTTATGTCTTCAGCCTCTCTTCTGTTTTGAAGATGCACACTGAAGTGTTTCAAAGCTTGTGTTTGATAATTCAGGCGGCCTGAATGTTTAATCTACTGTATTTTGCTCTTCTGGTCTCTCGTTCATGGTGCCATGTTAGAATTTGATTTATGATTTGTGAGTGATAGCACGTACTTCTGAGGCATCATCTGTGCAGTTTGTCACATGAAGGCTAGAAGTTAGTTCCTCCAGAGACGAGAATTTTATCTACTTCAGTGCTTCCGGGAGCAGGTCCAACTCAAGATCTCTTTAAATCAAAGTATCAGCTTGGGATTTTAAACACTCAAAGAATTCACTTGTCTGCAAGCTTGTCTGAGGTCAGGATTATGAGTTAAGTATTAGATGGATCCCTCACACACCTGCCCAAGTTTCACGTCATTTTATTGTCTTAGGAATTTCTGGAGAACTGATGTTGGGGAGTAGGCACAATTTTAACTTATCTTTATGTGTGCATATGTTTGGGGAGTGATAAAAGTCTTACTTTTGTTTTAGAAAAGTCCACACACTATCTGTGGCCTGGTTGCCTTCAGGAATTGGGGCCTAGGGAGACAGGCATTTGAGAAAAGTTATAAACATGATAGTGCCCTAGTGCTCTTCCCCGTGCTCAGTATTGATTTCAAAGAGAATTCTGGTCCCATTCGCCAGGTGAAATTTTCCCAGGGTGACCTAGAAACTTGCACAATTTCCCTGACTAGTCACTTCCATCCAGCTAGACCTATTTTTTTTCCCTGCTTCCTGATCTTGGATCTGTTGTAATTCATTCCCCACATGTTTGGTTATCCATGGAAAACTCGCAGCCTAAGTGGTCGCAGCTCATATTCTCATATTTTGGGGGGTGGGTGGGAGTAGGGCTCATATTTCTTGTTAAGCAGTAGTTCAGCCCTCCTGGGACTGAAAAGTTCAGAGTTCTTGGGAGACAATGTGTGATGGGTATAAAACCTCCCAGAAAACAGTAACATCAGGAGCTATTTCTTGAACATTTATGATGTGCCAGGAACTTTATTAGGCCTTCTATATACAATGTGTCCTCTGGACACCAACCTGGGTAAGAAAAGAACAGAGCTGCTGTCCACTGTTCATTGAGACATTACAGAACAGAGGAAAGAGTGCAGGCTTTGGAATCAGATGGTCCCAGGTTTGAGTCACGGTCTCTGCACTTATTAGCTGTATGTGACCTTGAACAAATTCCTTAACCTCTGTTGCCTTCAGATTTCTTCATGGTAATTTGGAGTAACAATGGCAGTCATAGGTTCCTGTCGTTCCTGTTACTATTGGCTAACAGTTAATACCTCAAGCTGATGTTCAAGGGACACATTGCATTTAAAGGGCCTAATATAGTTCTTTGCACATCATAAAAGTTCAATAAATAGTAGTTGTTGGTAAATGCCATCGAGTCATAGTGACCCTATGAATGAAAGACCTGGACACCTGTATAACTTTCATCCTTTCTCCAGGTTCATAGGGTTTCCAGAGGCAAGCTATTTTGGAAGTGGATGCCACTCCTGCTTCCAAAAATTTTATTATTTTTTTTTGTGGGTACCACCAAATCAGATCTGAGTGGTACAGGAGGATATTGTCCCTCCTTCTCCAGCAGAGCATCTGGTGGATTCGAACCGCACACCTCTGGGATTACAGTGCAGCTTCTTGCCACTAGGCCACCAGAGCTCCCCCATAGTCCCTGATGTTATTGTTTTCTGGTGGGTATGCTCTCTAGAGGAGTTTTCACACCTGAAGAAGGATCACTTTCCCCGGAGCCCCCACTCCCATTCTAGTAATCATCCTGAACTATATATCTGTTTCCATTAGCTGCAACCCCTTCAGGGCTATGACTGGCTTATGGCCTCCTAATCCTTGTCACTCAAGCAGTGCTCTTAATGATCCACCCCAGGAAGCCTTTTCTGTATCCTTCCTGTCTCTTCCTCCCCTCTCACATTCTTCCTGCCATGTCCTTACGTGCACATTCTACTGCATGGCCTGGTTATTGTCTACAAAATGTCATAGATAAATCTCTTCGTGTATCTCTATTTCTCCACGCTCACACCTTCCGTGAGGGATCAGCTGTTGGAAGCAAATGTGAGCCTTGCACGCAGGGACAGTGTATGCCCTCTCGAGCCTCAACATTTTACTGTCCCTCCTTATCCTTCCTTGTGCTTTTTCATTTCTAGTCTGAGAGACCTAGACACCAGCCTGGAGGTGAGCCCTGAAGAAAGCAGGAGCGGTGCTGAGAGTGGGCGCAGTGAGCCAGCGGACTCAGTGCCTGGAAGCCTCACCATCACTGTAGATGAAGAAAACGAGGGGCCCCAAACCTGCCGTGTCTGTGGGGACAAGGCTACAGGATATCACTTCAACGTCATGACGTGTGAGGGATGCAAGGGCTTCTTCAGGTAGAGTTACCCTGTCCGCTCTCACCCACATTCTCTTTTGATTGAATTCCAGACTGGATTCCTCCCATCCTCACCTTGGGGCATATGATGGCAGCATGGAGCCAGAACCCCACTCATAGGCTGAAGATAGTAAGGAAACTCTTTACAAGCGCCCCAAACCTCCTCCCCATGCCATATCATCTAGAGGACTAGCCTGTAGCACACCCTGAATGGATCATTAACCAGCAGTGACAGATCCAATTCTGAGCTAGGCAGGACCACAGGGAGGTGGGCATCTGTGCTGGATCTGGTTCTGCCAGCAGAGAAGAGGCCACCTAGAGCGTCTGTCCATGGAGATGGCCTTAGGGTCCAAGAATCCCGTGTCCCCTCCTCGCTTAGGTCCATCTCTGGAACTTCCAGAAAGAGGTGGCACAATGTATTAAGAGGGTGGAGTTGAGTGAAAGGCAGCCCTGGATTCACATTTCAGTTGTCATCTACCTGAAGAGCTTATGGTGGTCTAGTATCTCCAAGTCTCACTTTCCTCTTCTGTACCAGGCAGGTAAGATATAACAACCACATTTGTAAGGCTCTGAAAAACACCTTGACCTTCATAACTGTGGCTCCCATTTTTCTTTTGCCCATTCTGGAAGGGCTTTGGAGCTAGCAGGTGTGGTGGTGGGGTGCTTGTGTGTGCACATGCACTCACACCCATGAAGAGCTGCCCCCCACCCCTGGACTGGATGCAAGCCATTCGCCTGGATTCTGAGCGCATGCCTGCCCCTCCACACAGGCAGCTCCACTTCCAAACCCAGTCACACCCTGCTCCTTGGGCCACTCTGATCTGTTCCTTTATTTTCCTGCCTTTATTTTCTGCATGGCTGGGACAACCAGAGCCCAGGCAGAATTTGTTTCTTTCTAGACACTGGTGAAAAATAACAAACTAGAGTCCCATGACTGCGTCTTCTATGGGGGATGCTGGGATGTACAGACAGTGGGGAGGAGTAAGGCAGGCACCTTGTCATTTTTATAGGGGACTATGCAACTGTGGGAAGGTCACAGACCTGGCACCTGCCCCTGCCACTCTTCTAGGATCTGAATGAACCTCTTTGCCTCACTAGGTCAAGCAGGAGCCCCTATTCTTTCAATAGGGAAGCTTTGGAAGTGTCCCATGTATTAACCTTTTTCCTCCCTGGTCCTCACATCCCCACCCAACTCCACTCCTCAATCTTAAAAGGGAGTGCTGGGAGGGAAGAAGTTTCTTATGCTTATGCTGTTGGGCTTGTGTTTCCTTGTGAGATGCTGCGCTGCAATCCCAAAGGCACATAGTTTAAGTCCACCAGCTGCTCTTTGGGACAAAGACGGGCAACCTCTTCCTGAACAATTGCCTCTGAAAACCCACTGGAGGCAGCTTTGAGTAGGTTCCCACTCGACACCACACAACAACTGCCTCGAATCAGAAGAACATGCAGGAAGGAGGCCAACCTGGGAGGAAACTCTCCCCGGCCCCCTTCTGGAGGTGTAATGTGTGTGAGTCCAGGAATGTGTCAAGGAGGGAGGAAGGCACGGCATGGGATGGACCTAAAGGGGAAGCCCCAGAGGTGGTTCAGTGGCTTCAAAGGCCTGATTTCCTGTCTGAACGTGGCAGGAGCAGTCTCATTCCTGTCTTCTTCACTTGCTGACTCGTGTGCTTTCAAGGAGACAGAGGACAGACAGAAGTTCTGGCTGGATTCTACCACCTACAAACCCCCACCCAACTCAGGAAGCAAAGGCTGGGCCCACAGAGGGTGTGACTAGTGCTCCCAGAGTGGGATAGGGATAAAGAGGGGGAGGTGGAGCCCCCTGACTCACACGGGAGCCAGGGTGAGCCCTGCAGCCTGACTCCCCTGCGCCTTCTCTCACAGGAGGGCCATGAAACGCAATGTGCGGCTGCGGTGCTGCTTCCGGAAGGGCACCTGTGAGATCACACGCAAGACGCGGAGGCAATGCCAGGCCTGCCGCCTGCGCAAGTGCCTGGAGAGCGGCATGAAGAAGGAGAGTGAGTGCGGGGTGGCCTGGGGACTATGAGGTGGGCGGCGCAGGACGCCTGCGCCACCACGAGCCTGGTGCATCCTTGAGCACGCACACGTGCCAAGCGCAGGCCCAGGCGTGTAGGCTTCGGCTTGAGGTCTCTGCTTTTGGCATGTGGAGAAGACCTCACAGGGCATCTGCCTGCAACCACCTTGTTCCATTCTAGGGACTTTGAGAAAGGGAGGCCATTTTTTGTTGTTGTTTCAGGACGTACAGTGTGCATCTTTCCACTCAGATGCCCCTCTTTTCTGTCCCCTTCTTTTCTTCATGCTGTTTCAACAAACAGGGGGCCGTTTAGGAGCAAAAGCAGGTGACATATGACGTGAGATGACGTGACTTTCCAGCTGCTAGAGTTCACAAGTTGTCCCAGCCCCAGAGTCCTTATAGGGCACTGTTTGCAAATAGATAAGGGTTACTCTGCTAAGCTTTGGTTATTTATATCCACGGGGCATTCTGGGATTAAAGTTCATGGAGGAAAAGACTAGAAGCTCCCAGAAACTGTCTTTGTGAGTCACAGAGTGACCCAGGCCAGGGCAGTGTCCCTCAGGGTATGTGTTCTCTGGGCTTGTGGACTGGGAGCCTTTCCTGAGACTAGATGGGGGGTGGGGGTAGGGGTGGGGGTGGTACCCTCATCTGGCTGTTGCTACGGATAAAACCATCTGGGATTGGGTCACTTCTGATTCATGAGGACCCCATATATGTCAGAGCAGAATGATTTCCGTGGCTGATCTGGGGTAGTAGTTTTTAGGCTTCTCCTCCCCAGAGACTGGGTGGACTCAAATCTTTCAGTTAGTAGACAAATCCACAAATGGTTACAAGTACTCAAAAAGACCTTGTTCCTGCTGAATAGAAATCGATCTCACCCCTCGAAGGGCCCCTAAAGCTTTGTTCTGTCCACAAGAGGGGGGTCCAGAAATTCATGGAAGACTCAAAGTTTAAACGGACAGCGCGTATATTCTCTTTTTTTTGGGGGGGGGGGAGAAATGGGCTCATATTTCTTGTTAAGAGGTAGTTCAGCGCTCCTGGGACTGAAAGATCTAGAGTCCTTTGGACACTTTGTCTGGTGGGTATCAAATCCACTAGAAAATAGTAACATCAGGGGCAACATGAATGATGTACCAGGAACTATATTGGGCCCTTTCCATGCAATGTGTCCCTAGAACTGCAGCCTGAGGTATTAACTAACTGTTAACTAGTTACTTTTCCTATTACTACACAGGAACCTATTGAGATGGTTAACAGTTTTAGTTCCATAATTAACCCTCTTGGTACCAGCAGCCAGGAAACCAAGAGACAAATTGCATTGGGAAAGTCGGCTGTCAGAGATCTCTCCATAGTACTGAAGAGCAATGACGTCAGGCTGGAGACTAAGGTGCACTGATCCAGGCCATAGTCTTCACAATTATGTGCTATGCATCAGAGAGCTGGGCAGGGAATAAGGTTGATAGATAGAGAGTGGATGCCTTTGAGCTGTGGTGCTGGAGAAGAGTATTGATTATACCATGGACTGCTAGGAGAACAAACAAGTTCATCCAGGAGAGGGTGAAACCGGGCTGCTCCTTGGAGGCTAGGATTCTGAGGCTTCATCTGACATACTTTGGGCATGTTGCAAGGAGGGTCAAGTCTTTGGAGAGGGACATCATGTTTGGGAGGGTAGAGGGACAGCGCAAGAGAGGAAGTCCCTCAATGAGATGGATCGATGCAATGGTTGGGTAATGGGAGTAGGTGTGTCAGAGACAGAGAGGTTGGCACAGGATAGAACAGGGTTTAGGGCTCTTATACATAGGATCGCTATGAGTTGCAAGCAACTTGATGGCACATAGCAACAACAACAACAACAACATTACTGCTGTTCTTACTCCAAATTACCATGAAGAAATCTGAAGGCAACAGAGGTTAAGGAACTTGTTCGAGGTCACATACAGCTAGTAAGTACAGGAGTTTGACTCAAACCTGGGACCATCTGACTCCAAAGCCTGCACTCTTTCCTCTGTTCTGTAATGTCTCAATGCACAGTGGACAGCAGCTCCAGATGCACCATATCTGTATCTGGAACTAGTTTGATGTCCAGAGGACCCAGGGCTTTCCTGGGTCTGGGGGAAAAAAATGCAAATTCCTGTCACTAGTACTTTGTCTTTGATCTAATGTCTGTCTTAGAGGGTTAGTGTTAGGCTACAGACTTAAGAAATCAGAGAACAAGAGAGAAAGCTTAAAACCAGCTTTATTAGGGGGGCTCCCGGGCGAGGTTCCTCATTTTGAAGATGCAGAAGGAGGAAGATGCACTTTGAACATTATCAGGGAGGGTTTTTATAACAGGGGCTTTAGGGAGGAAAGAGAGGGACATTCCATTGTGATTTACGGTTCATCTGTTGGTTCTGCCAGGTGGGCCCTGCTGTTCACTCTTCTTGTCAACTTGTGAATTCTTTGAATTCTTCATGCTCCCCTTTGGCCCCCTGTCCGGACGTAACAGTTAGGAAGTGTCTCTGGCTCAGGTGCTGCAGACAAGGCTGTGCACCTGAGCCTGCCTCTGCCTGTCCACAGTGATCATGTCTGATGCGGCCGTGGAGCAGAGACGGGCCTTGATCAAGAGGAAGAAGAGAGAAAGAGTTCAGACTCAGCCGCCATCGGCTGCAAAGAGTCTGACCGAAGAACAGCAGAGGATGATTGATGAGCTGATGGAAGCACAGATGAAAACTTTCGATACCACCTTTACCCATTTCAAGAATTACCGGGTATGAGGTTTTAGAGCAGGCTCAGCTCCTGTACTAGATTCTCAAAACCCCCTGTTTCTCCCAGCAACTCTGAAAGCTTGGGCCTAGGACAGCAGCAGCAGCAGCATTGGGAATTTGCTGGAAATACACATTCTCTGGCTACCCCAATATTCAAGGGCTGCGAGTCAGCAATCTATGTCTTAGTAAGACTCTTAGGCGATTCTGATACACTTGCTTACATTTGAGAACCACCACTCTCTTCAAAGCATATGGGATCAGGGGCTGAGTTATAAAAGGAGCTTAAAGAAAAAAAGATTCCCAGTGCTGCCAGCTCTGGTGGCCTTGGTATTTGCCATCAAGTTGGAATGGACTCATAGCCGACCCTCCAGTGGGTTTTCAGAGACAGTAAATCACACAAAAGGAGATTGCCCATTCTTCATCCATGGTAAGAAATTGTGCTGTTAACCCAAAGGTTTGAATCTGCCAGCTACTCAGTGGAAAAGATGGACAGTCAACTCCTGTGTGATTTACTACCTCTGAAAACCCACTGGAGGGTCAGCTATGGGTCAGTTCTGATCTACGGTCCACAACAAGAGTCTGTCGGCATTCAGGGCATTATGAGGCCAGGTGATATAGTATTTATTGATCCAATGAGTGAGCACAGCAGCGCCACACACATTTGCTCTCAGAAACCTTATCCCTCACTCCTCACTTGCAGGTATCTCAGGTGGTCTGCTCAGCCCAGAAAACTGTATTAGCCCAGTGACTCCAAGATTCTATTTTTTCCCCCCATCTGTAGCTTACAGAACCCTCTCTCTGAGTTCCACCAAGCCCAGAGTGAGAGATGCTTGAGACACATGTCATGGAAAAAGGCCTTTGTCACTTGACATGGGGGCAGAGAGCTGGCCTCCTCTCTGACCAAGCTTGTCTGTGTGTGATTATGAATTCACGGTCTGGTAGAAGGCCAGGGGTGGGAACACAGTTATGCATTCACCCAGGCTAAGCTGGGGCTGAGGCTGTGTGTGCATCAGGACGTGAGTACAACCCTGCTTGTGAGAATCCACCCTGTCTGTCCTCTTTTTCTGTATCTCCTCTCTTGTACTCCAGCTGCCGGAGGTGTTTAGCGATGGCAGTGAGGTTTCAGAGTCTCTGAAGGCACTAACAGGAGAAGCGGCGGCCAAATGGCACCACATCAGGAAAGATATCTGCCCAGTGGCAGTCTCTCTGCACTTCCGGGGGAAGGATGGCAGCATCTGGAACTACAAGCCCTCAATTGACAACGGAACGGAGGTCTTTTCCCTGATGCCCCACTTTGCTGACATGTCAACCTACATGTTCAGAGGCATCATCAACTTTGCCAAAGTCCTTCCCTACTTCAGGTAGGACATGGAAACTGGGCAGGGAGGCTGTTGGCAAGTATGGAAAAGAACAGAAAACAGTCATGCATTTCAAGGGTCAGAGGTAGATCCTCCTTAATCTGGAGGATGTTGTCTCAGGGTGATGCAAATGGTTAATGTGCTCAAATGCTAAATGAAAGGTTAGAGTTTCAAATGCAGCTTGAGGGACCTGAGCATAAAAAGTTGACAACAAAGAAATAGAAGTAACCCAAGTACCCATCAACAAATGAATGGATGGAAAAACTATGGTATATTCCTACAAGGGAATACTGTGCAGCACTGAAAAAACAATGAACTAAAAAAACATTACACAACATGGGTGACCCTGCAGGACATTATGCTGAATATCTCAGTCACAAAAGGACAAATATTGCATAACACCACTGTTATAAAGCAAGTCTGACATAGGCGGTTGGGAAGAAAATAGGATAAGAGTGGATAGATGAACATTTCACTGGAACAGACGAAGGAAAGAACTGTTTAAAGGAATATATTATTAGGCATTATACATATGACAGCAGTTGAGAGTAAGAGGTACATTGCAGAGAGGACTGGGGTAGTGAGAGGACAGAGGTAATTGTGCAACAATGAAAGAATATTTAGAAAAACAAAAAAGTGAACTGAAGGAGGGGTAAGGGAGGGAGAGGGGGTAAAAATGTGCAACAATGAATAAAAATCTAACTTTGTTGTTGTTATGTGTCATCAAGGCACTTGTGATTCATAGTAACCCTATGTACAACAGCTCTGAAACCTGCTCTACCCTGTGCCAACTTTGTCGTCTCTGACACACCAGCTCTGATTACCCCAGTTACTGAATCAATCAATCTCATCGAGGGTCTTCCTCTCCTGCAGTATCCCTCCACCTTTGTAAGCATGAAATCCCTCTCTAAGGACTGGCTTTGCCTCGTAACATGTCCAAAGTATGTCAGATGAAGCCTCAGAATCCTTACCACCAAGGAGCAGCCTGGTTTCACCCTCTCTAGGAAGAACCTGTTTGTTCTCCTAGCAGTCCATGGTATATTCAACACTCTTCTCCAGCACCACAGCTCAAAGGCATTGATTATCTTTCTATCATCCCTAGTCATTGTCCAACTTTCTGATGCATAACATGTAATTGCAAAGACTATGGCCTGGATCAGGTGCACCTTTGACTCCAGAATGACATAGTTGCTCTTCAGTACTTTGGAGAGGTCCCTGACTACAGACTTTCTCAATGAAACTCATCTTTTTAATTTCCTGGCTGCTGGTACCAAGAGTGTTTATTATATAGCCAAGCAAACAGAAGCTGTTAAAAATCCCTTCACCATCTATCATAATGGTACCAATTGGCCCAGTGGTGAGAATCTTTGTTTTCTTGATGTTGAGCTTCAATTAATAGTGAAGGCTGCAGTCTTTGACCATTTGCAGCAAGGGTCTTCTTCTTTCATTATAATCACAAATTTTATTTTTTAATTTTTTTAAATTTTATTATTTTTTGTGCATGTACCGTCAAATCAGATCTGACTGGCACAGGAGGAGATTGCCCCTCCTTCTCCAGCAGAGCATCTGGTGGATTCGAACCATGTACCTCTGGGATTGCAGTTCAGCTTCTTGACACTAGGCCACCAGAGCTCCCTTACAAATTTTATTTTTTTAAAAAAAAAAAACGTTGGCAACAACAAAACAGCCATTGGAAACATTGTGGAGCCCAGTTCCACCGTGATACCCCTTGTGTTGCTGTGAGCTGGAGCCCATTTGACAGCTGCTGTGGTGTAGGGTGTGTGGTGCTCAAAAGACCCTCCTTAGTTCTGCCCCTGAGGTGCCTGGTGCACCCAGAGCCGCTGGGAGTTGCCCACCTGCAGGATCACTCCTTAGCTTTATGACTGTGGGCAAGTCATTTGCTCTCTCAGCCTTCACATCTGCTAAATGAGAACTAATTATACTTGCCTTGAGCGGTTGTCATAGAAAATAAGATGGCTTCGGAGTATCCTGTACACGTGGTTGTTGTTGGGGTGAACCGTTACAAGTTGACAAGTCTACAGAAAAAAAAAGTTGGCGAGGGAGGGAAGGAAGCCCAATGAGAAGAGAGGAATAAGGTGGGTCTGGGTCTCCAGAAGTCTTCTGCCAAGAGAAGGCTGAGAAGTCAGAGGGATGGGGGGCATTCTTAAAATCAAAGGGCTGTTGTGGCTTCTCAGAGCTAGGCATGGAGGCAGCAGCCACAGTGCAACTGGAGGTAGTGGGAGAACCCAGAACTTTCTGTATTGGGGGAACCACACAGCCTGTTAGGGCTGGAGATGGCGCTGGGCATTTTCCTTAGGTTAACTGCTTTGCTGGGCTCAGCCTGGCTGATGGAGCCGTATCACTCAGACAGGAAGCCCTGGCCTTCTCGCACGCTGAAGGAGGGTTATATTCCAGGAGCTGCGGGCTCTGAGGGGTCAACTTGTTGAAGAGAACAGGATGAGAGCCCTCCTTAGGGATGTGGATGTTTGGAGCGACCAGTGGATTCAAATTGTGTGCCGTTGGAATGAGAGTGCAGCTCCTTATCACCAGGACACCAGAGCTCCCTTAGAACTTGATTAGACACTGTAGTAAGTTAGTCATATTAGTCAAATGTATCTGAAGCACTTGCTTCAGAAAGTCAAGGACTGCAGCCTTCAATATAGATTGAAGCTCAACATCAAGAAAACAAAGATTCTCACCAGTGGGCAGGCTGACAGCATCATAATAGATGATGAAGAGATTTAGATTGTTAACACCTTCAGTCGGCTTGACTTTACAGTCAACACTCCTGGCACCAGCAGCCAGGAAATCAAAAGACGAATTGCATTGGGAAAGTCTGTAGTCAGGGACCTCTCCAAAGTACTGAAAAGCAACAATGTCAGTCTGGAGACTAAGGTGCACTTCTTCGTAAGGCCATGTCTTCGTAATTACATGCTATGCATCAGAGAGCTGGACAATGACTAGGAATGGTAGAAGGACAGTTGATGCCTTTGAGCTGTGGTGCTGGAGAAGAGTGTTGAATATACCATGGACTGCTAGGAGAACAAAAACAAGTTTGTCCTGGAGAGGGTGAAGCCAGGCTACTCCTTGGAGGCAAGGATTCTGAAGCTTTGTCTGACATACTTTGGACATGTTGCACGGAGGGACCAGTCCTTGGAGAGGGACATCATGTTTGGGAGGGTGTAGGGACAGCGCAGGAGAGGAAAACCCTCTATGAGGTGGATTGATTCAGTGACTAGGGTAATAGGGATGGGAGTGTCAGAGACAGTGTGACTGGCACAGGGCAGAGCAGGGTTTAGGGCTGTTATACATAGGGTTGCTATGAGTCGCAGGTGACTCAATGGCACATAACAACAACAACAACAATAATGTTATAAAGCAAAATGTATATGAATAATTGGATGAAAACCCAAAATGATTTGTAAACTTTCACTCCAAGAAAAAAAAAAAGAACCCAAAACAATAAATTGGGAAAAAAGGGAAATGAAATGTGGGTGTCAACAAACCCTTGCCAGAATCATTGATGTCAATTTCTCATGATCACCCACTACTGAAGTGAGGTAGGCATTACTGTCCCCTTCATGGTGCAGGTAAAAGACGGCAGTTTAGGGTTCACTGACCTTAACCTTCCACAGTTTGACAGTGAGTCTGGGGTGGAGGACAGATTTGAAAGTGTTAGCAGGAGGGCTTCAGGGCCAGATGCCAGGCCCTAAGAAGGCCCTAGGAGACAGGAAAGAGATCCATGCCACAGCATTTGAAGCTCAGTATTGTGGAATCCTCAGGTTACAAATAGCACGTTTGGTTGGTAGCTGAAAGTTTGGAGGTTTGAGCCCCAGCCAGAGATGCTTATGGAAAGAAAGGTCTGACAATGTACTTTTTCTTTAAAAAAAATGCATGTAACGTGGTTCACTCAGCTATGAGGAGGCGCTGTTGTTAAGTGTTGTTATGTTGAGTACAAATCACCCTGTGAACAACAGGAGAGATACAATTGGTAAGCCGTGGCAATAAGTCTCAGAGGAAAGAGCCCACCCTCACTCTTCCCCTCGCTCCCCGTCAGCTCTGGATTATGGGAGGGGGGCTGCCCCCAGCCTGTGGATGATTTCCCAGGGAGCTGTGACCCCTGCCCCGTCTTGCTGCCAGGGACTTGCCCATTGAGGATCAGATCTCCCTGCTGAAGGGGGCCACCTTTGAGCTGTGCCAGCTGAGATTCAACACAGTGTTTAACGCAGAGACCGGGACCTGGGAGTGTGGCCAGTTGTCCTACTGCCTGGAGAACACGTCAGGTACCCGAGAGCCTCCTGAACGCCCTGGGAGGGGGCGGGCAACACAACTGTTGTGGACGGGAAGGCTCCATGATGGGGCAAGTCTCAATTTCCCACTGAGATCTCTATACCCTGACATTTCACGCTCAATTGGGGAGTGGGGATGGGGCACGTGCTACCACATCCCAAGTAGCCTCGTCCTGGGGGTGTAAGACAGGATGGCTGGATGATGGAGAAAAAGTCCTTGGCACAAAGGAGGGAGGGCTGGCTCCTGGGTCAGCGTCCCCAGAAGTGCGGCTCTGGCCACACCTACTCGCAGGTGACTTTCAGAAGCTTCTCCTGGAGCCTGTGCTGAAATTCCACTACATGCTGAAGAAACTGCAGCTGCACAAGGAGGAGTACGTGCTGATGCAGGCCATCTCCCTCTTCTCCCCAGGTGGGGCCCTGCCCTGTCCCCCTCAGCTTTACTTGCAGGAAGCAGCACCCCCTCACCCCCACCCCCACTTTCCCAGGGAAGGTCCTGGATGGCCTTGCTCTGGCACCTGCACAGCCCCGATGGGGCCTTTGCTGGTTTCTCCTGGCTCACCTAGCATTGCCCCTTGCTTGCCTCCTGGGCATCTCCAGCCCCTGAAGGTGCTCGGCTGGCAAATTCTCCTCCCTGGGCCAGGATGAGCTTGGGGTGGACACACCTTGCTGGCCCCTGACTCCCCACCCTGCCCTCCCTGCAGACCGCCCAGGGGTGGTACAGCGCAGAGTGGTGGACCAGCTGCAGGAACGCTTTGCCATCACCTTGAAGGCCTACATTGAGTGCAAGCGGCCCCAGCCCGCCCATAGGTGAGCTAAGCTCAGGGAGAGAGGAATTCCAGGGAGAGGGGTGTGCTAACTGCACCTGCCTTTGACCTTGACCTCGAGGAGAACAGACAAGAATCCCTCACTCAGCCTCTGATGACCAGGGCTATGGGGCTGTGAGCCCCACTGAGTGAGTCTTCTGTGCAGTCAGCCAAACAGTGGGGCAACTTCAGGGATCTGAGGCTTTGGCCAGGTGAGAGAACACTTATCCCCGAGCCACCTCGAGGTCTGGCCAGGCTCCTCCACATGTGTGTTATCAAAGGTGGAGATGTTCTCCTGAGGATTCCATAGGGCCTTCTAGGAATAGCCAGTCATAATAGTGGTGACAATAAAGACAGCAACAACAATAATAATTAATGGGAGAGATCTATATCTATCTATCTATCTATCTATCTATCTATCTATCTATCTATCTATCATCTATCTATCTATCTATCATCATCATCATCATATATTATCTATCATGTATCTATTCTCTATATCTATCATCTATCATCTCTATTTCTTTGCCTATCATCTATCAATCATCTATCATCTCTATTTCTCTCTCAACCATCTATCATTTATCTATCATCTATTTATCTCATCTCTCTACTGATCTATCACTCTACCAGTCGATCGATCTATCATCTATCTGGTGCTGTTGGCCAACATATGCCATGTTGTTAGGGCATAATGCCATCTAATTGGCTCCACCTTGTAGTGGCCCCGTGGACAGTGCTGCACCGTCCTCACAGTGTCTGCCCTGCATGAGCCCACTGCTGAGTCCCCGGGTCAATCCAACTTTTCTTTTTCACAGACCCTCGACTTTTCTAAGCATCATGTCCTTCTCCAGGGACTGACCACTTCTGATAATGTGCCTAAAACATTCCGTTTCACTCTCTTTACTTTCAGGGGCACGTTGCCTACACTTCTTCTGGGACAGATTTGTTTGGTCTTTTGGATGTCTCCATGGTAGTGTGTGATACATTTGGGCCATTAGCTGATAGGTCAGTGGTTCAAATCCAACAGCTGCCTTTATGGAAGAAAGACGGGCAATCTTTTTCCATAAAGATTAATGGTCTCGGAAACCTGATGGAGGGTGTGTGTTGGAACCAACTTGCTGGCAGCGGACATATCTAATAGCTCACCTTCATTGGCAAGTACCAGTCCATGTGCTAAGCAGTTTACATATATTTCCAACTGTAATCCTTCAAAGAACCCTTTGAAGCAGGAGACTGTCATTGTCTTTGTTCTGCAAAGGAACCGAGGCTCAGGAAAACTGTGCAGGGGCCCACAGAGGAGCAGAATCAGGAGGCGACTCAGGCTTTCAGAGCCTGGATTCCTAAGTCCCAGGGAGCTCTGGTGGCTTAGTTGTGCTGCTTACCCAAAGGCATGCAATTTGGATCCTCCAGAGGCTCTGCAGGAGAAAGCCAGACAACTTCCTTCCATGTCATTTACAGCCTCTGAAAACCGCTAGTCAGTCAGCTGGGAGTCTGTGTAGAAACAGCACCACCACCTCCTCCATGCTCTGCAGGTTGTCACTACCCAGGAAAGGCCCGAGGGAGCAGCGGCAGGGCAATGCCGAAAGGAGGCTGTGCTCAGGACTTTGTCCTTACAGGCCTTCCTCCCCCTCCCTGGCCCTGAGCAGTCACGGTGGCCTCATGCCCATCTGATGTCCGAGGATCCGGTCAGATGGCCACTGAGTCCACGCAGGGCAGCGGTTCTGGCCAGCTCTGGGCACGTGAATTCACACCTCAAGCCCTTCCCAGGCGGGCTGGTACCAGCTGCCTGCTTGGCTTACCACCTGGAGTCCTGAGGGCTGCCGTGCCTGTGGTCCGTCAGGCCCCGGGTGAGTGGAGCCAGCGGCCCGGAGGTAGCAGCTTTCTTCTTCACGGTGGACAAACACACTGAGTCAAGAAGCACATCATAGACAAGTCAGATCCAAAGCTAGAACAAGGCAAGACGTGTGGCCTGTAGCTGCCACTTCCACCCATTAACCCTCTGTCCTAGCTCCCTGACGTTGTTGTTGTTGTGGTGGTGGTGGTGGTTATATGCAATCGAGTTGCCTGCGACTCATACTGACCCTATGTACAGCGGCTCTGAGCTCCTGAGCCAGTCTCACTGACTCTGATACACCTCCCCCATTGCCCCAGTTACCACAACAATCCATCTCATCCGGGCCTTCCTCTCCTCTGTGCTGTCTCTCCACCACTTGGGCTCTTTTTAAAAATTAGCCTATGAATTTGGTGCTTGTGGTGTCAGATTCTCCCCGCCCCCGCAGCACACACTGAATTCTCTTGGAAGACACAGCTCAGTAGAGGGAACAGGAGTGGGGAGCGTCCTGGGTTCTGACCTTCCTGCCTCTTGGCTGAAGAGACAGCTTAAGACATTGAGCCAGGCCCTGGCTCCTGGCTGACACGAGGCAGCCTGAGAGCTGCCCCAGGGCAGTGGGTTGGGGTGGGTGGGGTGCACCCCAGCCTTTCCTCTGGCTGATCCTCAGGTTCCTGTTCCTGAAGATCATGGCCATGCTCACCGAGCTGCGGAGCATCAACGCCCAGCACACGCAGCGGCTGCTGCGTATTGAGGACATCCACCCCTTTGCCACGCCCCTCATGC